GAATGATATATCACAAGTACAGACTCAAAATACTTTTTACATTTTAGATAGGATTTATTCAGCAAAATTTTGAGCTGACGTCATCAATTTTTTGGAGGGGATAAGTAAATATATTTTGATTAAAAATTTATCATGCTTATCATAACTTTAAAACATGTGCAAGATTTCAAAGCGTTCGTAAACTACGTGTATAGTGTTATATAATTTAAATCCATTTACTATGTACAATTTTAAAGTGACGTTATCACATTATTGGTGGGGATAATTAAAAAAAATTTTGGTTAGCGTTTTACCATCTACATGATATTCCTAATATAAATACAAAATTGGACAACAATCGACCTGGTACTTTCGAAGATTATCTGTCTATAAAAATCCGGGACGGCAGACAGACAGACAGACGGAGACGGGAGATTTTATTTTTGAATTTCCGATGTGACATTAACAAATTAATCCATTTATTTGAAAAGTTTTAGCAATTTATTAAAAAAATGCCATTGGTTTCAACGTCTATAATTCAGTATTTAGTAAGACGATGGGCGTTGTTGTAGTGCCAATAAAACTTTATACATAAGTGTTTATAAAATAATCTAAGTTACTCGGAAAGGAAAAACAATATCGAACAAAAGATTTCTTGGTAAACAGATTTCAAGTTATTTGTATTTCTACTTCCCCAGTGTAAATTCACTAAATTATTGTAACAGGGTTATTGGGCGACTGGCTACTTTCATGTTTTCTCGATGTGTCATGACTCTAAGAGTCCACAAAACTAGGTACCCCGTTTCCACCTGTAGCTTGCCGTTTGTGTCACTTTTTATAAGACAGGTAATCTTCGAAACTATCGGACCGATTGTTGTCAAATTTTGTATGTATGTTAGGAATATAATGCAATATCGTGATGGAACGCTACTTCTTTTACTTCTTGAGCGTAAGGGTAATCGAGATTACGAAAAAATAGCTCTCGGTAAATCGTTAACCAAATTTTTTTCTTTTATGGACCCTTAGAAAGTGATGACGTCATTTTATAATTTTACCGAATTATCCATTAAATTTTATAGAATTACAGACTCCCGTATATCTAAAGATTCGTTTTTAGTTTTTGCGCTAGACCTCTAGATTTTTGCAAAAAAATTCAAAATTTTGAAGTCTTGAAACCATTTTTAGGTTAAAATTCTGCCGAATAAATGTTAAAATAACATGCTTCTGTATGTCTGATTTAGGATTCCGTGTTGAGCTTCACCCTTGGCACTTGATTTTTGGTAAAAAAAATCATCAAAATCGTATGTCAATATTTTACAGTTTTACTTTAAAATGAAAAAATCGAATGCTTTGAAATCCTGCAAATATTTTAAGGTTATTGGATTCATGGTAAACCATTAATCAAAATTTATCCGTCATATTACAATTTTGCCGAATCTTCTTCAAATTTATGAAAGTTTTTAGGAAAAAAAAACTAAGTGTGGATAATTAATTGATCAGTCTCTCCTCTGTCTTGAGGACAAAAAATCAATCAAATTTTATTTTCTTTTAATAACGGTAGCTTGTAATTTGAACGTGCTAATACTCGAATTCTTTCGAAGTATAAACATAAACAGTCGAAGTTAAACATATAGTGAGAAATTGAGAATATGAGTGTATTTCAGAGGAGAGGGAAGTCCTATCGAAATAACCTTACGAATTTTTCTGTGAAAAATTATCATAGTTAAAAATGAAATGAAAATTTATATTTTTGCATAAAACCTTGCCTTGACATAAGGATACAAAAATGAAGAGCAATTTTCAGTTTTCTCATATTTTTAAATGGGTCATCTGTATTTTATAATATCTCATTCATCTCTGAGTATTTTTTTTTGATGCCAAACTTTAATATTTTATTAAAATTATAGCTGGAATAAACCCTAATAAATCTGGCAGAGAAGATAAGTTTTAAAATATTCAAGTAAAGTTAATCATTCTATACAAATAAGTTTCAGCCTTGATAAATATTGCCATTTTTCCATAAAATATAAATATCTTGAAAATTGTTAATCAAAAAAACCCTTTAATATGATTCATTTCCTTTCTTTAAATTTTGAGTGGAACATTTTGTATCTCTAATCTATTAAATTGGATCAAAACATGTTTCAATACTAGATGATAAATGCCTGATAATAAACCACCACGCTGCGGGGAAATCTATATATATAAATAAGTATATTTCATTTTTTGCATAGAACACCTGCATTTATTAGGTTTTTTTATTCGTTCCTTTTTGTTCCATTCCTAAATTTGTTAGTTTCTACGATATCACCCTGTATGCTAAAGAATTAGAAAATCAAATTATATGATATAAAGGGAAGTTACGGTGAATTCAAGCATTCAAATTTTTTCGACGATCGGCCCTAGTTTATCCTAGAGTTTCATGACGTTTGGGTGGTTTAGCTTGAACGTCGAAAATTATTCTGCGTGCATATACGTTAGGTATGTAAATAGTTGTCGGAATTATTAGCGGCTCATTAAAATTGCAAATAATATTGTAGAGCCCCAACTAATAGTTTCCGATCGATGATTGCCTCCCCCACACATTAATAATTTGCGAGATTTAACAATCAGGTGTTTACAGTCTATCTGCAATAAAGCAGTGCAAATATTAACAATTCCATTTCGATATTTAAATAACGGTTCAAAGGAATCCCTCCACTGCAAAATTTTCAATTCAAATAAAGGCTCCTTTAAACAAATACTACGTAACATAATATGAAATTTCCTATTTCCAATTTCAGAACTGAAAACACGGATCGCGAATGTGTGTAGGCAGGAATGAAGAGAAGAGAGGACTCGCTACGTTTATTTGCTCGTCACGCTTGCACATATCAGCCCATCACGTACTTGATCCCGGCTTCTAATATTGCGTATCACACGCACTAAACCTACTCTATTTTGGGGATGTTAAGGCCTCAACCACACTTTGAAACCGCTTCTTCGGTTCGCGACGGCATTAAGCCGCAGAGGTCGTCGACGGTTATTGCACAGCAAGTGGCTAACCGATTTCATATAGACGGCTGTTTATTTGCTTTCGTTAGACCAGGACCAGAACGAAACGAAAATAGTGAAAATGGATTAATAGGAGCAGAAGGAAATTGCATGTTTTCAACGAAAACATCTACGAGTGATTGTGATGGAAGTGTTTACCCCGAGCTCGGAACGGTGCGTTGACAGCAATTCCGATAAATTCGGTTTTCACCTCGAGTGGTTTGTTAAGCGACCTTGATGATGGGAAAATAACATATGTCGGAAACGCGAGGATTCGGTGGCAGAGGTAGCGACCATACTTCTTTAAACTGTCCCATATTTTTTAAAACTGATGTGGTTACTTTACACTTGAAAACGCTTACCTAAGTGTTATAATAACCCAAACATCCCCCGAAAATGCTCACTCACGAACATAAAACTTTAAAACCAGCAAAAATTCAAATTATGATCATAAACGTTACCTTCTCCAATACGATGATAAGATGTGTTCTCGGAAGCAAACGATGAAATAACTAGAAGACGGCGCAAGTTAAAACACGAAGTTACCGGAGGAGAAAACCGCATTTATTTGAAAAAAGTTAATTTCATTTCGTATAGGGAACAAAAAGCTACGAATAATTAAAATTTACCGTCGGAGTTGGAACCTCTCTGGAAGTAAAAAAGATTTTCGCCATACTTTAAGTTTACAAACTCTTATTCTAAATTCAGGCAAATCGACCGTTACGTTTACGGTATACATGAAAACTTTACACTCAGAACGAGGACAGGTTTAGCAGTGATTATAAACTATAACTGAGACAACCAAGACCAGCAGAACAAAAAATTACAAAAAAATTACACTTAATTATATTTGTTTGTATTTGTTCACGTATTTATTTACTACGGTAGGGGAACTGCCAGGGTGGTTGACGTATTTTGTTGTTTTTGCTTTCAAGTTACACCAAATTAGTTCAATTGGATTGAAAATACAAAAATAAGGAGGTAATCTTTGTACTTGAAAACGAGTTTCATTTCATCGACTGCTTAGATTTTTTTAAGTTATGTCCAGAGACAATTACTAATAAATTACTGGCCTTGCAAGGCAAATAGCCATTATATCGGTTATTAAGATTATTTTTGTTAAAATGTTTAAAAATACATTGTGAAGAACACAACCATAGACATCCTGTAACGTCCGTCCTGATTTTGGAATAAAGCAGTAAAAAAATCATCGCTTTAAATTATTTAATTATATGAATAATGCGCGTGAGAAAACACATCCATAAATCCACTAGCACTAGCACTCGAGACCGATCAGCAGAATTACTTACAATACATCGATATGCAATTCAAAATGGAAGTAACACATCCCTTGTGAACTAGTTGTCAAATCACAAATTATGCAGATTGAAAAACAATATTCTTGATAATGAATTTCGAAAGTTATCTTAATTAAGGTTAATTATTTTGGGCGGTGGAATTACATACTTAATCTAAAGTCCTAATCGGATTATATTTCACAAGATCTTACTCAATAGAGGTCAAAGTATGGATGTACATCTGGTTTTTAACATTTGTCACAAACACTCGAGATAATATGTTACCGTAAGTATTTAAGTAATATCCCCGTGACAAAAGGTCAACGTTCTTATCTTTACTAGAGGATCTAACCAAATGTTCGGAACATAAGTGGTTCCTAACATTTATATTTTGTCTTAAGTACTACAACCAATTGAAAAAGGCTTAAAAAACTATTGTGAAAAATTAATTCAGTAAATAATACACTATTAAATTTTACAAAAGGAAAAGATGGGCAGTTTATAATTATGTTAAAAAAAATATATCAGGTTCACTACAATTACTACATACTTATCCATAATAATCAAATGCATAGATAATATTTGAAGTGTGTTTATTAATATCACTGCAATTTTTCAAGTAACACTTGAGATTGCCTCATTTGAGATTATTGGAAAAAAACGGAGGCTTAGCTAAATAATGCATTTGAACAAAGTGCGAAGTACTATTGTTTTTAGCAACACTGGACCTATAAAAACTGCACGCCTCAAACTAACTCATCAGTTCGACTTCAAAGCTTGCAAAGGTAAGAAGTGTAATTAAAGCAAAAATCATAACTTAACAAAAAAATCATTTCGATATCTTTTACAGATGAAGGCAATTTTTGTGTTCCTTGCGCTCATCGGCCTTAGCTTTGGTGCTCCCAGTCAGGTGCATCACAAACATGTCCCCAGAAGCCTGATTGATGACCTACAAGACTTTTTGGATCTCCTCCCAATTGATGACATCGAAGCTATCGCTGCCGAACATTTGCAAACAGATGGGGCTTTCGCCGCTGTCGTGATCTACCTTCAAGGACCAGAATGGGCTGCACTTGTCGATGAAGTCGGTGCCAAGCCGGCCGTTCAAGATTTTATCCAATACCTCACCGATGCTGGTCTCCCAGTTACCGACATCATTGATTGGATCCACAATCTCATCGCTGGTGCTGCTCCTGGAATCGAACCTGATGAAAATGGTTCTCTCAGACCTCTCCTCGATGAAATCGAAGCCATCATCCCTGTCGACGATCTCGTTGCTTTGTTGAACGACAAACTCCAAAACAGCCCTGACTTCCAGGATTTGTACACTAAAGTGTCCAGCGAGGATGCCCATGCTCTGGTTGAAGAAGTTCGTGCCATCGATGAAGTTCAACGCCTTGCTCAACGTCTTAGAGATTTCGGTGTCAAAGTCGATGAAACTTTGGCTGTCATCTACGAATTCTTGGGTTGGGGTGCACCAGTTTTCAAGAAAGCTCCCAGAAGTTTGATTGATGACCTACAAGACTTTTTGGATCTCCTCCCAATTGATGACATCGAAGCTATCGCTGCCGAACATTTGCAAACAGATGGTGCTTTCGCCGCTGTCGTGATCTACCTTCAAGGACCTGAATGGGCTGCACTTGTCGATGAAGTCGGTGCCAAACCTGCCGTTCAAGACTTTATCCAATACCTCACCGATGCTGGTCTCCCAGTTACCGACATCATTGATTGGATCCACAACCTCATCGCTGGTGCTGCTCCTGGAATCGAACCTGATGAAAATGGTTCTCTCAGACCTCTCCTCGATGAAATCGAAGCCATCATCCCTGTCGACGATCTCGTTGCTTTGTTGAACGACAAACTCCAAAACAGCCCTGACTTCCAAGATTTGTACACTAAAGTGTCCAGTGAGGATTCCCACGCTCTGGTTGAAGAAGTTCGTGCCATCGATGAAGTTCAACGCCTTGCTCAACGACTCAGAGATTTCGGTGTCAAAGTCGATGAAACTTTGGCTGTCATCTACGAATTCTTGGGTTGGGGTGCACCAGTTTTCAAGAAAGCTCCCAGAAGCCTGATTGATGACCTACAAGACTTTTTGGATCTCCTCCCAATTGATGAAATCCAAGCTATCGCTGCCGAACATTTGCAAACAGATGGTGCTTTCGCCGCTGTCGTGATCTATCTTCAAGGACCTGAATGGGCTGCACTTGTCGATGAAGTCGGTGCCAAGCCGGCCGTTCAAGACTTTATCCAATACCTCACCGATGCTGGTCTCCCAGTTACCGACATCATTGATTGGATCCACAATCTCATCGCTGGTGCTGCTCCTGGAATCGAACCTGATGAAAATGGTTCTCTCAGACCTCTCCTCGATGAAATCGAAGCCATCATCCCTGTCGACGATCTCGTTGCTTTGTTGAACGACAAACTCCAAAACAGCCCTGACTTCCAGGATTTGTACACTAAAGTGTCCAGCGAGGATGCCCATGCTCTGGTTGAAGAAGTTCGTGCCATCGATGAAGTTCAACGCCTTGCTCAACGTCTTAGAGATTTCGGTGTCAAAGTCGATGAAACTTTGGCTGTCATCTACGAATTCTTGGGTTGGGGTGCACCAGTTTTCAAGAAAGCTCCCAGAAGTTTGATTGATGACCTACAAGACTTTTTGGATCTCCTCCCAATTGATGACATCGAAGCTATCGCTGCCGAACATTTGCAAACAGATGGTGCTTTCGCCGCTGTCGTGATCTACCTTCAAGGACCTGAATGGGCTGCACTTGTCGATGAAGTCGGTGCCAAACCTGCCGTTCAAGACTTTATCCAATACCTCACCGATGCTGGTCTCCCAGTTACCGACATCATTGATTGGATCCACAACCTCATCGCTGGTGCTGCTCCTGGAATCGAACCTGATGAAAATGGTTCTCTCAGACCTCTCCTCGATGAAATCGAAGCCATCATCCCTGTCGACGATCTCGTTGCTTTGTTGAACGACAAACTCCAAAACAGCCCTGACTTCCAAGATTTGTACACTAAAGTGTCCAGTGAGGATTCCCACGCTCTGGTTGAAGAAGTTCGTGCCATCGATGAAGTTCAACGCCTTGCTCAACGACTCAGAGATTTCGGTGTCAAAGTCGATGAAACTTTGGCTGTCATCTACGAATTCTTGGGTTGGGGTGCACCAGTTTTCAAGAAAGCTCCCAGAAGCCTGATTGATGACCTACAAGACTTTTTGGATCTCCTCCCAATTGATGAAATCCAAGCTATCGCTGCCGAACATTTGCAAACAGATGGTGCTTTCGCCGCTGTCGTGATCTACCTTCAAGGACCTGAATGGGCTGCACTTGTCGATGAAGTCGGTGCCAAGCCGGCCGTCCAAGACTTTATCCAATACCTCACCGATGCTGGTCTCCCAGTTACCGACATCATTGATTGGATCCATAATCTCATCGCTGGTGCTGCTCCTGGAATCGAACCTGATGAAAATGGTTCTCTCAGACCTCTCCTCGATGAAATCGAAGCCATCATCCCTGTCGACGATCTCGTTGCTTTGTTGAACGATAAACTCCAAAACAGCCCTGACTTCCAAGATTTGTACACTAAAGTGTCCAGTGAGGATTCCCACGCTCTGGTTGAAGAAGTTCGTGCCATCGATGAAGTTCAACGCCTTGCTCAACGTCTTAGAGATTTCGGTGTCAAAGTCGATGAAACTTTGGCTGTCATCTACGAATTCTTGGGTTGGGGAGCACCAGTAGTCAAAATATCTCTCAGGAGCTTGATTTATCGTGTGTAATTTAAAAAAGCATTTGTTCATTACCCTGCAGAATAAATAATTGTTTTTTCATCAGACTTTATATTTAGTTATAGTGGTATAAAACATGTAAAATGTGACGAATTTAAAGCAGTAATCGAGGTACATACATATTACAAAGTTAGTAACCGCAAGTAAAATCATACCAGACAACAAATACCTTATAAGTCGGTAATCCGCCGAAAACAATTTAAATGAACCCCAATTTCAGTTTAGTTGAGATAAACTGCATTTGGATAAAGCTTACGAACAATAATTTCGTCCAAAAAATATGAATTTCTAATCAACAGTAAGTGATGTGGTTTTACAATTCCTTTACTTAGTACACCCAATTTAGTCGTGACGTATTTACCCCGCCACCTTCAGCTGTAAGAAGCAGATGTTACTTAGGTTATTCCTAAAATATGCAATCCTGTTGTGTAGCTTTTTTTTTCATTGATAATAATTAATGCGTGACCGTAAGAATGCCTTTTAGACTAAAAATGACAGGACTTTTTTTTCTCACATTTACTTTTTATTTTACAAAATATATAAGAAAATATACAACACAATCATCCCTCAAATTAGAATAAAAAAGCCAAAAGTCTTGACAAGGCCACAGGTTAAATTTTTTGTCGACAACAAATGATAACGAATATTTGATGAAGGTATAATACTACTAATTGTAGGCATATCAATCAATATTTCATTAATTCTTAAATAATAAAATAACCGGTGCACATAAAGCAAATGAACTTCGAGACCGATAAATTGAATGATATTAAATATGTGGGAACATCCAACTTTGATCGTTAATATTCTCGAGACAAACAGTTTGGAAAAATACTGCGTGTGGTATCCATCTTCTTGGATTTATTCAGTGCAAACTTCTACATCGGTCACTGCTAACGTAAATCTTCTGCATAAATTGTATTTGTTTCTTTAACATATATTCCTCCATTGTTTTTAGTAATTGTGAAATCATATCCGTGCTTGTTTATGATTGCTTATTAATCACTCACTACTTTTAATACAAAGAGAAAACTCCCTAGGAAATTTCTTGATTTTTTCCCGATTTCGTTAGAAAACAGTTTCTACGTCCGGTCAAGAAAATGTTCCTTATTTTTATTTATCTTTACTATCGATGTTCATATTATCACTTTTGATTATTATTCACTGGAAGTCTTCAAAGGTAAAGGTATTGGATTCTAATTTAAGGATTTGCTATCATTTGTTTATTATTATTAGAGTGAAATCGTCTTCAAAATGTTCTTGATCAAAATATTTTAGACCTAGAACCACATAATTTTAGAACATTATAACTGAAATCTTTACGAAAAATTGTCTTTGGCTTACGTTTAAGGTTTTAGCCGAAACGAATGAACAATAGATAACTGTAATTAGTTGGTTCAAGATCGTTTAACTCTAAATAGAAGGAGCTCTTAAAGTAATTATAAGATTTATCTATATTAATTAGTGTAGACAAATATTTGTTCTGTTGAATTCAAGTAGTAGCTAACTGCCGCAGGACTTACTGTTAGCACAATCGCTCCAAAGCAACTAACTATCTGACCTTAATTTTAAACAAACCAGAGCAGTGCAGCCGCTCTTAATTAGCCCGAATACGAGCCATGTCATTCCCAAAGCGAGCAGTAATTTTTCTCGCGGAAATATTTAGCGCTTTTATGAACACCACCGTCACAGTTTAACCCAATAATCAATTTCGCTGAAAAACTAAATCGAAAATAAAATCAAACTAGAACGCTGCACGAAACAACACGAGTCACACAGATTACTCGAATTTTTTATTTTTCAGTCGGATCAGTCAAGGGATCAGTGCGCTTTGCGTTCTCTTTCCCGGATTAATCTCTTCGATTTTTGGAGTGGTATTAAGCTGGAGCATTGTTGAAGCTATCTTAAAGAGATGGAACGTTGTATTACAAGTTGGGAAACGAATTTTAAATAGCGCCGTTCGCCGAAATAATACAAAAGGAAAAATATGTTTCCGCATATCGTCGGATGGCAAAAGTACTATACCTTCTAATTTAGTGAAGGATGAAAGTGTCGCTGGTTTTTTTATGGGTTGTAATAATGCCGTTATGGTTTCTGTGACGGGGTTACTGGAGCATTGGTGCAAAATTTGTTATGATTAGTTTGGGGTTTTTGTCGCGGCTAATAAAACTGGATGTATAAGAAAAACGGGACTTAATTTAGTATTGACTTGATATTTTTTAGATTATTGCGTGTATAAGTAAATAAATGTAATATTTACAAAGTAAATAAAAATTGTTAGATTTTAGCCTAGACATAAGCAAAACATGTACATTCTGTGAAACTCTAATGGTTGTACCTAAATATTATTAACTGCAAAATTGCGTGTTTGTCGATGGCTTTGTCCCTATTTTCGGATGACTGATGGATCTTCAACACTTAGCATTTTTGGGCCCTTCTACAACAACTTTTAAAAGTTAAAGTCAATTAACCTGTCAATGATAGATCGACTTATGCATGTTTCGTGTAGTTATTCTTATACACAGTAATCTGCTAAAAATTCTCTTAATCTTGATACAAACGAGCAATTTCAGCAATAAATATTTGTTTAAAAGTTAAGAATTACGCGCCTACTAAAAGTGCTCGTTGGTTTTTTTCGTATTTAAGGAACAAACACAAATTAGAAATTATGGATCAAGTGAATCTGTTTCACAACTCTAAAATACGAAAATATTAATTAACTTAGATTAAGATAATAACAATAAAATTGTATAGTAGGGTCAGAGAACTTCTCCCCCGAAAAAGTTTGTAAATGTTAAAATCGCTTTAATAAATTTATCGTCGAATCATTTTATTATCCGGAATATGTCGATAATCCGCTAAAATTGGCGATCCGTACGTGAGCGAGAAACGCAACAAATTTTCATTGCGGTTTATCCATACCCATACGTAATAACTCGACAGAAAAAACACGCCAGGTTACAAAAAATAAGAGCAGTAAAGCTTCCATGTGGCTGAGTTAACTCACACGCTACCACTTTTTTGAGTTAAAAGTCAGAAGTATGATTTATTGTGGTAGGTATAAGCAGAATTTGTGGTATCAATTCACCAAAAAGGTTACGAGTCTCTGCGACAGAGATGTTCTATACATTAAGTGATAAACAGTATTGATATCTAAACAACACACGAAAATGATAGCAACTGGTGTCTGCATTAGAGTCTGAGAAAAGAAAATCCTTGTGGTTGTTGTGTTAAATGACGTTTTTGTTGGAAACTAACCTTTCAAACCAGTAGTTAAAAATACTTTAATTATTCCTGTGATATATTCCGCCTTTGGCAACCCCGTTTTGCAGTTTTCTTCAAAAAAAGTAAGAACGATTTATTGTTTTGTTTATATACATATTAATATTGTTGGGACCCACACCGGTTCTGGCTAAACCGGTCACAGATAAAGAAATGTTCAGATGAGAAGACGTTTGTACAATTAAACAGGTCAAACGTTTTTATGATGTTCGACCTTAATTGTACTAGTCTCCTCATCTGAACATTCGGTTCCACCCATCCTAACGTGCAAAAACAGTCCATCCAAAAATTGTTGCACGCTCACTTTAAATTTAATGAAGCGCAGCGCCAACTAGAGTCTAAAATAGGAGACGAATACCGGTGGAGTACTACCTAGTTAGATAAGGAAATGTTCAGATGAGAAGACTAGTACAATTAAGGTAAAAATCATAAAATCGTTTGACCTGTTTAATTGTGAACAAAAATCTCCATAGTTTAAAATGTCAAAGTACTAAATATCCATACAATAAAAAGCAATTCTAAAACAAGGTATGCCCAGAACACTACCATAACAACCAAATCTACATATCCGAACACTACGGTAATTAAAAAAAAAATTGTTGCAACGTCTTGTACCGATCCATGAAATGTCTTAACCCCTGAGCTTTTAATAAAAAAAAACAGAAGTACGAGTGAATAATGCAACACGTATGCTGTAAAATATGTAGTGCATCAATTTGCAAGAATAATCTAGAGACCGGTTAATAGTACATTTACAAAATTTAGGAAAGAGATCGTTGGTACATATATATTTCACAATTTCTATTTCAAAGCCTGTATAAACAAGAGTGGGTAATTTTTCTAGTCCTGACTAAATGTAATTTTTACTTCACTCCTCTCAACATCACGAAAGCATTGCGACTCCTTTAAGAAAGCATTAAATTTTGATTCCGAGAATCCCTGGTGATATCTCCAGCCGCATTTTTCTTACTTATTCATCAATCTTAAGAGGAACGGAAGTAATTAACAGTACGGTGTCTTCACTCTGTTCACTCTCGTTAAATCCCTTCTGAATATTCAAATGCAGAAGCTTCTCAAGACACATCCACTTAGTCAACATCGTCAATATTGAATGTGTTGTAATAATTATTGTTTGCCACTGCGGAGATTAATCCCTGTTCAAGATTAAGTTAAAATGTGTTAAATGAACTGTACACAGTCGCTTCATTAGCGACAAATCAACATGTTGGTGATTATTTACAGTGTGGTGGGATCAGGCAAACCTGTATACATGTGTTTTGTCGCTTGAAAGGGCACGAAATAAGCTGTGTTCCGCAGGAATTTGTGTCTGAAATGATAACCGTGCAAATGGAAAAGACGCAATTTCAGTTTAACTATCAAAGAAGGTTACGGAAGAAGTTGCCGTTGTTTACCGTCAATGTACCGTTTAAATGGCAACAGTTTCTAAAGTTTCGTTATCTTTATGTACTTTTTTCGAGAGATTTATTTAAACGCTTTTAAACGTCAAAAACAAACATACAAAACTTTTTAAGGAAAAGTTTATGTTTATATAAATTTTTATATTGGTGAGATTTGTGGCTTTTCTCTTTTAAAGGTTTTCTCTAACGTCAAACCATCATTTTTTGTTGGTGAATTATAAAGAACATGATACAAGAGAAAAGAGAATTTTTAATTAAATTTCGTGATTCATACGACCGATTACTGAAACCGTTGCATACAGGTTCCCCAATCACTTCATGGACGTTACAATATTTACGTTA